ACGGGTTAAAGGTGGATTACATAAATCCAAAACAGCTGTTTTCTTTGTTAGTTGACCGCTGATGCTCTTGTCCTCTTGCGCAAATTGGTCATTTGCATCCCAGTTATATTAATTATATGTCGTTACTTAGATTAAGTGAGTAGCCAATCTCTTTAATTGTTCTGGAATATCGAGCCTCCCGACGGACGCTGTGCAAAGCTTGTTTTATACCATCATGCATCGGCCGTCGCCTCGAGTAATTTTCCATCAGCCTGTATTTTTCCAAACCTTGTACGCCTCAAGCGTACTTGCCAGTCTGTGTGTTCTAGTCGCGGTTTATATTATCTTCACATATGCCTATTTAAATTCATCTAGTCTGGTGCAAACTGTCCGTTAGTGAAGCGTAGCTAAAAAAAAGACAAGCTTTTTGCCAAACCTCAACATGATTTTTTCGAACCTCCTTTGCCTTGTTTTCGCTTCCATGGGTGTATACATAGTAGTTTCGTTTTAGTTGGTTTTTGTCTACAAAGCGTCTGATTTAATTTGCGCCTAGATATATTGAATACTAAGGTTTCCGTGATTTCTAAAGGTACGGATGTACACCGAGACGGAGGCCTTCCTTGAGGGCGTTCATCGCCAGATGAGCGTTATCCTGACAGATCACCTACTGTCAGTCCTATCTACCGTCTTAAATCGGTTAGCACGGTACGACGAGGGCACCATCCTCTCCTCTATCCTCACACTTGCTGTAAGTCTCGTTGCCTTCCCGTTATTATATTGTTTACCTTGCCGCAGTGTCGCTGTGTGCGCACTGCCAGTGCGCGATCGTCGAAATTACTATCCCTGATTATCCCCCAGCACTGCATAAATTTTGCTAAATTCACTCTTGTAGAAGTCAGATAATGAGGATGGAAAGAACTACATTCACTTCATTGAAATCAATCTGCAAAGTTTGTGCCACAATCTCATCGACGACGTATATCTCTTGTCCATATTTGAGGTAAGCCTGATTCTGCACTCTTCCATCAGGTAAATTTTAGCGGTGGTACGTAGGCCAGTTGCGACAGGTGGATGACTGGTTAGCTCAACGGCAAGAGAGCGTCTTAACAGCTCATCAGATAAAATATCTTTCAGCGATTGTTCGGGTAGGTCTTGTGGGTTTTACTAATTGCTTTTGCAGAAGGTATTTCAGGACTTTGAACTACAAGGAGTGGCCACGCATGTGTTGGATAATGTAGCATACAAGAACGTCTGTCACCGTCTTCAGGTATAGTTGTTTCGTTTTTTTAAATCCTATAATTTTTCTTGCTTGTAAACATTCATGAGGGAAAGAAATAATCTTAAATAATTTTGAAATTAGTCTACCTGTGGACGCGAAATGCCAAATGGTCCTGATTGTCGTCTTCTTTATCGCCAGCCCAAACTCTATTTAGCTTGCGGTCATTGGCTGGAAAAAGGTCTTAGTAAAAGCTACCGTTGCGATAACGGTGGATTGGTCTTTTGTAGTCCACTACGACATGTATCATAGAATTATCTCGCGTTCGAAATCAATAACAATGGGGCAACTGACATTGGATAAAATTCCTGTAGCTGTTTGAAAATTTGGAGCATGTTGCCAAACATAAAACTCGTAAAACAAGAAAACGTGTGCATTGAAATTTAAGGAAATGGTTTACTCTAAGTTATTAGTTTTAAGAATTGTATATTTCTTATGGTTTGTCCATGGGAATCTGACCAATAGAAATTGCGAAGCACGTCCAGGTATTGAGATATCATAAGGCACCTTTCAACTTTTCCCCTGATCAACTTACGGAAATTGACCACTTCAACGGAGAGGCTTATCTAGCCTCCAAACTGGAAACAACGCTGTAGGATCTTACCTTCAGATTTTCTTGCATTTTGCTCTCTTGAGGTTTTCAAGGGTGTTCTGCCAACCATAGAAATGTTTATTTTACCTATCTAGCTATGCCTACCGCCCATTATGTTTTCCTAGTTGACAATCTCGTCAAAATACCCTGTGAATTAAAGTCCATCTCTGAGCGAATTTGGCCTTACCTTAGAAATCAGCCCGTAGGCATAGATTAACGTGCGGTCATTTTTATGCTGAGAGGTCAGTAGATAATGACTACTGCTATTCTTCAGAAATGGCTCGATATTGGGAAAACAGATAATTTTAGCTGACAGGCAAGCTGACTGCATGCTCATAAATGCTCCTGCAGCTTCACCTGGTTTGCAGAACGACCACAAATAAGTCGTTTTTCTTTGGTCGTGAAACTTATTTGCCTGTTCTTTGCGCTTGTTTGCCCCCAAAA